CACGCCAATTCTCGTATTTTTCTGGCGCTCGGCGCATTTGCTAGAGTTTTCCAGGTCGAAAATCGCAAAAACACTGCCCGGACGTGACGCAACGTCCGTTTTGTGTCCGTTTTCGTTCCAACCTTGCGTGGGGGCCTACGTTGGCCGTGCCCACATGTACGCACACTTTGGTGCAATTGCATGCATGCAATCACGTAGCCCCAGTGCAACCAGCTACTTCTCGGTCTGCCGGGAGGGGGTTCCCAACTACGGTTTTTTTTCTACTCCATCAAACGTCACGACACTTTTTCCACACGTTGCCATCACCATCCACAGCACACTCGCCAATTTTCGCAATGTTTTAACCCTCGACGCATTTTCTAGGGTTTCCTAGGCTAAAGTACCCTATACCAATGTCCGGACACACACTGAGCTACGTGTGTTTCCTATCTGATTTCGTTCATATCGTGCGTGTAGGACTACATTAGGGATGCACACACACTCGCAAAATTTTGTTCTGTTAAATGCATGAAATCACGTACTTTAGCGTCCTTACTATTTTATTATGTTTTACCATATTTTCGTGTACAAATTCATCATCAAATCAAAACTCTCGAATGAAAAGGACAAAAGAAATTTCACTTAAATTTCATTCAACATAGATAAAATATTTTACATAGTCGAGCGAACTCGATGATTACAAGTTCATACATAAAGTCTACTACTTAGGCTTACAACGACATAACCAAATTAAATAAAAAACACAGTAAAAAAACTACTCATTGTCGCTATCAACGAGGTCAATCATGGCCGGGCCGTCGCCGCCGTTATCGTCGCTGCTGGACCGGTTGGCGAGGTCGTCCCAGTCCACCGGATCGTCGTCGGAATCCTCCTCCTCCGCCGGCGCCTGCTGCCACTCCGCCGGCGCCTGCTCCCACTCCTGCTGCCACTCAGGCGGCACCTGCTGCCACTCCGGTGCCGCCATCGCCGCCTGCTGCGCCGCCACTGCCGCCTGCTGCGCCGCCTCGGCCGCCTGGATTGCGGCCACAATATCGGCGGCCTCCATCACCTCCGCCGCCGTCGCTGCAGCCTCCGACGCCCGTACGGCCACGTGGTACCCCAGCGTGTCATTTGGGTCGCCGTCCTCGCAGAGGATGACCTGCTCCGGCGGCAAGTCTATCCCCGGCGGCGAGGGAGGGGCGGCCGGTGCGGGCGCCGGTGCCGGGTGCACACCGTGGCCGCCGCCACGTCTGTGGCGATCGTGCGGTGGAGGCGGTGCGCGAAGATGGCCGCTGCGGCCCGTCAGGTCGGGGGTCTCACCGGCCGCCGCAAGGTGGAAGGCGGCCATGACCTCCCAATAGTCCTTCCCGCACCAAAACCGCTTCCGGCCTTCGATATTGTGCCGGCCGCCGCTGTGGTTGCGGAGCTCCTCCTCCGTCGCGCTGGGACCCGGCGTCGCGTAGCCGTCCGCGTCAATCTTCCAGTTGTGTGGAAGACAGCAGCCCGGCGGCACAAGGAGGCAGTAGCGGTGGAGCTCCAGCGTCTCCGGCACACCGATGCTCGTCGGCCATCCGCCGGGGACGTCGGCGGCGGCGCCGCCGCCGCCGGTGCTGCTGCTGCCGCGGAAGAACGACATCGGGTGCGGGCAGGCGGCGACGGGCGTCGGTGGGACGGGTGTTGGCGGGGGCGGGGGAGGAGGCGGGCAGGC